CTAACACAGGATCCAATCCAGGATCACACACTGCATTTAGTTGTCATCTCTCTTTAATCTGGAATAATTCTTCAATTTTTCTTTGTCTTCACACTTTTGAAGATTAAAGCACAGTAATGCTGCACACTAGTCTTCAATTTTGGCTTCCTTTATGTTTTTTCATGATTGGACTCAGGTTATGTATCTTGGGTAAGTATTCCATAATAGTGATATTGTGAGCCTGTCCAGTGCATCGTATCAGGAGGCTCATGGCATCAATTTGTCTCATTCCTGGTAATGTTAACTTTGGGCAATTGTTTAAGGTGGGGTTGGGGGCTGTAAAGTTACATTTTTCCCTCTGTAATCAGTAAGCATCTTGTNAAAAGAAAATCAAGGGCAGCCCCCACCAACAGCTGGCAGTAGTACAGGGACCTTCAAGAGATAAGAGTAGTCCCCACCAACAGCCAGCAAGAGCATGGGGACCTCAGGATCTGAGGGCAGCCCCCACTGACCAATGGCAGGAGCATGAGGTGCCACTGCTGCAGACACCACCACTGTGCAAGTGGTCCAACACTGCCTCTGCCACAGCCATCACCACCACAAAGGTGGCCTCCCACCACTACTGCTGCAAGGGCAGCCCTCCACCACAGCAGTAGCCACCACCTCCATGCAGGTGGCCCACTGACGACTCAACCATATTGACACAAGGAGGGTCACAAGTGGAGCCCAGAGAAAGAGGTAAGCAAGTACAGACCTGTGACCCAGTGACCCAATGTATAGGAGAATTACACGGCTCATATTGTAGCACACATGGGGATGGGAGGTATGTGCACAGCCCATGCAACTGCCTTAATCTGGGGAGAGGCACATGCAGAAACCCTGAAGTGTGAAGAAATCTATAGAAATAGAGTAATAAAGAAATTTTCCCACCATCACCAACTTGTGTCCCAACTGGAGAAAGCAAGGATCCATGAGGAGCCTCTGCCAATAGAAAAGAGGAAAGAGAAACCCTGCCTAGGATCACTCATTCAAACTGAGGAGCACCAGTCTATCCCAGTGCACCCATCAGGGTCATGGGACACTAGCTGGGGTTTCAACAAGCCTGCCCAGGGTCACCCACCCAGCCAAAGAGTAGCAGGGCACCCAGACACTTCTCCCACAAACTCAAGAGCTCATCCACATCCTCAACAAACTAGCACAGTGTCACTAACCTCAGAAAGGAGTCACTAAATGCCCCAGTGCCTAGGAAACAGGGGCATTTACATGCAACTTCAACATTGAATACAGCCAAAGTATCCACATGGAGACTACACTACTGCATCTACCTGGAACCAATACTAAAACACCCTACTCAATGGTCAATATAAAACACATCTATGGGAGGAAGTCTCTCTCCTCAAAGCCCACTCTAGAGTAGCCCAAGAAGCAACTACTCTACCAGATGACCAGACATCAATGTAGAGATATTAGAAATACAAAAAAAAAAAAAAAAATCATAGA